ATCTAATAAATATTTTTTTCACTATGAAAATATACTTGTAATTTTTCAGGTGTCAGCAATAGCGGTTTGTAAAGAGCTGCTTTTGGAAACACTCAGTGATTTGAGTAATGTGGAGCTCAAGAAATTCAAGTGGCTGCTGCAGTTCACGTTCTTTCAGAGGAGCCTTGAACTCATCTCATGGAGAGAACTGGAGTCGACCAACAGTACAGACTAACTGGTTGATGTGATGTTGGAGAGATACGGTCAACAGTCTGTGGAGGTGACCAAGGAGGTTTTGATGGACATGAACAGGACTGATCTGGTGCAGAGTCTGCCAGAGACCAGCTCAGGACAAGAAGGTAAGATAAAGAGGACAACTGTAACTTTATATGTAACAACAAATAAATACAGTACAGGCCAAAAGTTTGGACACATTGGACTCATTCAATGCGTTTTCTTTATTTTCATGACTATTTACATTGTAGATTCTCACTGAAGGCATCAAAACTATGAATGAACACATGTGGAGTTATGTACTTAACAAAAAAAGGTGAAATAACTGAAAACATGTTTTATATTCTAGTTTCTTCAAAATAGCCACCCTTTGCTCTGATTACTGCTTTGCACACTCTTGGCATTCTCTCCATGAGCTTCAAGAGGTAGTCACCTGAAATGGTTTCCACTTCACAGGTGTGCCTTATCAGGGTTAATTAGTGGAATTTCTTGCTTTATCAATGGGGTTGGGACCATCAGTTGTGTTGTGCAGAAGTCAGGTTAATACACAGCCGACAGCCCTATTGGACAACTGTTAAAATTCATATTATGGCAAGAACCAATCAGCTAACTAAAGAAAAACGAGTGGCCATCATTACTTTAAGAAATGAAGGTCAGTCAGTCCGGAAAATTGCAAAAACTTTAAATGTGTCCCCAAGTGGAGTCGCAAAAACCATCAAGCGCTACAACGAAACTGGCACACATGAGGACCGACCCAGGAAAGGAAGACCAAGAGTCACCTCTGCTTCTGAGGATAAGTTCATCCGAGTCACCAGCCTCAGAAATCGCAAGTTAACAGCAGCTCAGATCAGAGACCAGATGAATGCCACACAGAGTTCTAGCAGCAGACCCATCTCTAGAACAACTGTTAAGAGGAGACTGCGCCAATCAGGCCTTCATGGTCAAATAGCTGCTAGGAAACCACTGCTAAGGAGAGGCAACAAGCAGAAGAGATTTGTTTGGGCCAAGAAACACAAGGAATGGACATTAGACCAGTGGAAATCTGTGCTTTGGTCTGATGAGTCCAAATTTGAGATCTTTGGTTCCAACCGCCGTGTCTTTGTGAGACGCAGAAAAGGTGAACGGATGGATTCCACATGCCTGGTTCCCACTGTGAAGCATGGAGGAGGAGGTGTGATGGTGTGGGGGTGTTTTGCTGGTGACACTGTTGGGGATTTATTCAAAATTGAAGGCACACTGAACCAGCATGGCTACCACAGCATCCTGCAGCGACATGCCATCCCATCCGGTTTGCGTTTAGTTGGACGATCATTTATTTTTCAACAGGACAATGACCCCAAACACACCTCCAGGCTGTGTAAGGGCTATTTGACCAAGAAGGAGAGTGATGGAGTGCTGCGGCAGATGACCTGGCCTCCACAGTCACCGGACCTGAACCCAATCGAGATGGTTTGGGGTGAGCTGGACCGCAGAGTGAAGGCAAAGGGGCCAACAAGTGCTAAACACCTCTGGGAACTCCTTCAAGACTGTTGGAAAACCATTTCAGGTGACTACCTCTTGAAGCTCATGGAGAGAATGCCAAGAGTGTGCAAAGCAGTAATCAGAGCAAAGGGTGGCTATTTTGAAGAAACTAGAATATAAAACATGTTTTCAGTTATTTCACCTTTTTTTGTTAAGTACATAACTCCACATGTGTTCATTCATAGTTTTGATGCCTTCAGTGAGAATCTACAATGTAAATAGTCATGAAAATAAAGAAAACGCATTGAATGAGAAGGTGTGTCCAAACTTTTGGCCTGTACTGTATGTATTGTTACAAAATCAGCAGCTTATAGTCAAAGCAATGCAGTAACAACATGTAGGCCTGCCATGACCCCATAACAACCAAAGAGCTGAAGCAACACCTCTCAGACACAGTCTCAACTACAAACTGAATATCAGCTTCACAGAGTTAGGTGTCTGTTATTTTAATAATATGGGAATATGCTTCTCACTCTGTGAAATGAATGAAGTGACTCATTTAACAAACTAAATTTACGTATGCTTACAACATAAAAACTAAATGTGAAATGAGACAAAGATTACCTCAGAGGTGAATGTTTTGGATTTTGCCTTTAAAGTAAAGATGTTCTGAGAGATTAAAGAATCTGATGATTTTGGTCCTTTTTTTTTTTTTTTTTTATAAATGTTGTGTTTTCAAAAGTTTTTCTTTGAAAACATTCTCTGTGACTGGGCCACATGATCTTTGATCATTAAATGTGTGTATGTTGAGCTCATTATCAGTCTTGTATTGTATTTAGCTTGATAGGAATCGGACAAATGTTGTCTCCATGATTTCACATTAATTCGTTGAGTTGTCTCTGTGTAAAGCTTTGATTTGACTTATGCTACACTCCACTGTGGAGACAGACAGGCAATCTGTGTCAAACACATTATTACAGTGTTTTCTCATTGATTCCCTCTGTGATCTCTGTAACATGGCTTCCTCCTGCCTTCAGTCCACACACACCTGAAACTGAAATATTAAAGACTTTTTGTTCTCTGGAGGACTGAGTATTCCACTCAGGACAAGAACACATAAAGGCTTCACACAGTGTCTTTATTATTATGATTACAGTTGTCATTAAATGTGTTGCAGCTGCAGGATCATCAGCTGAAGCTTTTGGTGTGAGAACCACAGAGGGAGGTATGTGTCCTATAAAAAAACTTAAAGCACAGCAAACAAAATAAGAAATATCATCCATGAACTAAAAATAATGTTTCCTCTAAGCACTGTAGTTATTTTAATTTACATTTCAGAGTATGAACCTTTAACACAGAGTTTAATAGCAAAGAAGACGACAGGTGAAACCGTCACTGATTTTTATGATGTTACTGTTAAGGTTGATTTTTTTTGTTCATTTAACCAGTTCTAATATAAATCCTTGATATTAGAATTATAACAGTCCAACAGTGTCTGATTATAAATTATAATGTTAAATCAATCATTCATTCATATTTCCTTTGTCCTCAGAGAAACACTGTGTGGATGAACATTGGCCTGCATTGATCCAGAAGGTGAGTAATGACACTTCTGTCTGACATTATGTGATAAGTTGTATCATTACTTTGTGTGATATAACTAATATACTCTGATGTGAACAGTCAAATCTGTAATCATCCCAGCTGACAAATTTCACTTTAACCCCATGAATATCTCTTTTGAATTTACCAGGTGGAGGCGATGACATCTGTCATAGAGCTGCTTTTGGAAACACTGGCTGGTTTGAATGACGGGGAGCTCAGGAAGTTCAAAGAGGTCCTCCACAGTCAGACTGACCTCTACAGACGCCTCTCAGGCATGACTTTCATACTGCGGGAGTTAGAAGACTGGCAAGCCACAGTGTTTTTAATGGTGCTGACCTATAGCCAACAGTCTGTGGAGATGACTCAGCAGGTTTTAAAGAAGATGAAGAGGACTGATCTGGTGCAGAGGTTGTCAGACAGCAGCAAAGGACCCAAAAGTAAGAAAATGAAGAAAAAAATGGTCCTTAACATGTGTCTGTAGTTTATAAACCATGTTTTCTTCTCTTTAAATTAGAAATATTAAGATTTATGATGTAGAGAAAATAAGAATCATTCTCTTCATAGAAAATATGTTTTATGACTAATGTGAAATATGAAAAGTATTTTGGGAGAGGAAGCAAAAAAAAGACTGTTGAGCTGATTTAAGTGTAATTTTGCCTATTTGAAAATTTTACAAAGCAGAATGGCCTGAAACAAATTTTTCAGATGTTTGATCAGTCACTGATGACTTTTACCACTTTTCTCCTCAGAGCAACACTCAGATGAACACCGACCTGCACTGATCCAGAAAGTGAGTAATGTCACATCGGTCTGACTTCATACAAAACAGCTTTCATTAAAAAATGCAGGTTAAAAATTACCATCATCTTGAACATTTTAAATAGTATGATCCAAAGTCAGGATCAGTTGGACTTATTTATTTTTCACAGAACTGAAGCTGCATTCAGGTCGAGCTCTTAAGCAGTAATTTAATCCAACAATAATGATATGATATTTTTACCACTGAGGGTGAGATGAGGAAATGTCAGCATGAACATTTCCAACTACGTTTTTCATCAACAGTAAAGAGAACTTTATCCACCAGAAACATCTATTTATCATACTCAAAACCATTTTTTTCAGAAGCATTGAGCAAAATATAAAACATAAAATAATGAAAATAGTCTTTTGAGCCACTGTGACTCATTTCAGTTTTTGTGAAAAGAGCTGCAGCCTGTAACATAAAAGAAAAACAAATAACCAGTTCATAAGAATTAAAAGAAAGAAAGAAAAGGGAATCATCTTTTGATTTGTAGTTTGGTTCCTCAGAAAATAACAAAATATACTAAAACACAAATATGCACAAATACACCAATCTATAAAAAACAGCTGAACCAAATGTACTTAATCCTTGTATATTGTATATATTTTTATATTTGATGTATTTTTGTATATTGTATATTTCAGTATATTCCACTTCTTGCCTAAATTTTGAGTACTCATGTCAATTCTGGTACATTGAGAGCAAGTCTGCCCGAGTCAAATTCCTTGTATGTACACACGTACTTGGCTACTAAATCTGATTCTGATTCTGATAATACAACAGCAGTCACCAAATGGATCTTGTGTGATCTGCCAGTAACACTCACATCTCCATTAACACTGATGTGGTGCAAAGAAACACATTTGTAGTTGTCCCAGTGGATTAAATATATGTCCTATAAATGTATTGATTATTTCAGGTAGCAACAATGGCAGCTGTTAAACACCTGCTTTTGGAAACTCTGAATGATTTGAGTGACAAGGAGTTCAAGAAATTTAAGTGGTCCCTGGAGTGGATTGTCTCCCAGAAGAACCTCCCAGACTTCTCACCAGAGTTGAGTGACACCACAGACAGAGAAGAAATAGTGGATGTGATGTTGCGGACCTACAGCCAACAGTCTGTGCAGTTAACCAGGGAGGTTGTAAAGAAAATGAACAGGACTGATCTGATGCAGAGGTTGTCAAAGCCCAGCTCAGAACTCAAAGGTAAGACAAAAACTGTCACATAATCTCATGTGTCTCATAAATGTCTAATAAATACATTTTATGATTCATAATTTAAAAAAAGGTAAATCTGCTTGTGTATAAACTCTATCATCATAAATGTGAATAAAAAAACGCAGCAGGGATCAATAAATCATCAATTGAATCATAATTAAATCAATAACAGTCACACAGAATGTTTTAAGTTTAATGAGTTTAGTAATTGTTGCAGGACTTTTGTGTTGGATTGCTTTAGACTGTGAAAGTGTTTATGATATTGTGAATTTGTTATATCTACTTTTGAGGTAACTGAGCCTTTTTAAAGTTGATTATACTTTCTATGTTAGGTTAGAGTTTAATCCTCTGAGTCATTTTAAATGTCTTTTCTCTGCAGAGAAACACTCAGTGGATGAACATCAACCTGCAGTGTTGGAGAGAGTGAGTCTGACTTTACACATCACAGCTTTCATTCAGTAGATGCAGGTTGAAAAACATCCTCATCCTGAACATCATAAATGATGATGCAAATCAAACCAAAGGTTTTAAATTGGATGGTTCTCACTGTGTTGAAGGGTAACTTCTGTGTTTTCTGACCTGGACCCTATTTTCCCAGTATTGAGCAAGACGGCTGCAGCCAACAGCGGCAAAACCGGCTGCAATGTAATGAACACCGTCGATTTACATCCACTATAAGTTCTTGTTTTTGCCACTGACAGGCTCTGATTGTTATTATAAGTGTCTGTCAACAGAAACAAAATAACCCTCACAAAAACCATCTTGGTTTGTCTCTCCACTGTTCCAAAAATCACAAACTCTGGTTTGGTTGAAATAAACCTTTAATTTATCCAGTTAGATGCAAAAATATCAACCAGCAACCTCCAGGGCTGAGAAATGAAGCCAACAGAAATAAACATCTTTACAGCCTGACACCGAAAAAAAAACAGTTTTAGGGCCCTATTTAGATGGTCTAAAGCGGACGGCGGACGGCACATAACCCATGTCGCAAGTGTCATTGCTATTTAGATGCCGGCGCAGTTGTCATTTTCACACCCTGCGCCCTCGTCGTCTAACTAGTAAATGAACTTGCGCTTCTCTGGGCGTGTTCGTCTAAAAATGAGGGGCTCTAGTTTCGCAGACCGGGCGCAGCGGGGGTGCAGCGCACCTGCGCTTCGAAGCCTTTTGGCACGAAACTGTCAAGCTCGATCTGTCGACACCTCCCCCTGCTGCGCCGCCACACCCATCTCAGCGCACCTCGGTCTGCCAAACTACCAAACTGAGCATGCCTCGGGTTGCGCTNCCCTGCTGCGCCGCCACACCCATCTCAGCGCACCTCGGTCTGCCAAACTACCAAACTGAGCATGCCTCGGGTTGCGCTGCTCGAAACTAGCTCTGCGCGGGGTTCGCCACCCTGCGCCACCTGCGCTGCGCTGGGAAACTAGAGCCCGAGGAGTGGTCAGGCGCAGTCATGGCGTGTTGCTAGTTAGATGACGGGAAAAGCAAATGCACCAGTGACCAAGAAAAACCTGGTCTAAAGTCAACGGCGCAGTATTTTGCTGTTAAACAAGTTAGTAATATGCGTCTCTAGGCGGGTGCACAATGCGCGTGCACTCTGCTCAGACACACACACGGAGCAGCCACATATATGCAAAAGATAACAAATAAAAATATGATTACAATGTGAAAGGTTATTATTGTGCACATTAAAATATTTATCAGAAACACGTCTTAATGGTCAGTCATTAATCAGAATGATCTAATCGCAGTAATAATGATCATCATAATCTGGGAGGTCCAAGCTCGCAGTGTCCGAATATACGGAACTGCGAGCAGACCTCCACGGGCTGATGATGCATAGCCTGTAAAATGAACTTGTCTTTCCCAAATGAATTGTGATCATTTTGGGATGTAAATAACAAAATCAAAGATGTGAAAACATTTCATTAACTTTATTTTGACATAAACACAACAATAACCAGCTTCTGTGAACTAAAAATGTAAACTTAGAGCCACGTACAAATGTGTATTTAAAAAAAAAAGCTTTTAGAACGTAAAACTGAAGATCATCTTGTCCGGAGGAGGAGGAGGATGCACAGCGGCCGCACAGTCGGGGGCACCCAGGGGAAGCTCCACAGCCCACGCGCAGCCAGACCAGACGGGCCCGGGTGCAGCCACGGGACCAGCCCTTCCTGCACCTTCAGGCGGGGGGTTCAGGATGCTGGAGAGGGAGATGGGCTCTCTAACCTCCGGGTTAAAATAAAATTGAATAACTTACAATTTGTTGACAGTGTTTCTCCCGTGCGTGCGCGCTCTCTCTTTCTCTCTCGCAGTCTCACTCTGTTTCTTTTCTTTTGACTTTTCTAAGATGACAGATGCTGAATATTTACTCCCTATCTGATGCTGTGGCTGTTTGTGGTTGGCTGAGAGGGATGTGAACTCATTAGATTGCAGCTGTGTTAATCAAATCAGGTTGGGTTTCCATTACGCGTGCCAAACGTGCCAAACGGTGCCAAACGGTGCCAATCCCCTTTGATCTGACATCAGATGTGACGGGACAGTCGATATAGAGATACATTTATCTCCTCCTCAGCTGTAAAACGCTCACTCTTTCCAGTTGGTAGGTCCGCCATCTAACTAGCTCTCCGCCGTGCGCTCCAATTGCGCCTCTCTTAAAGGGAATGAGAGGTGACACTCTGATTGGCTTATTGAATGATATGCCCAAAACACACCCATGACACGCCCTGCGTTCTAATACCCATACTACCATACTATTTAGTATGCCAGAAAAAGAATTAGTGTGTCCCAATACATAGTATGTCAGATGCAGTATGCCAAAAGTACCAGGATGTTCTACTACATCCGGTCATATTTTGTAGTATGCATGTCAGCATGCTTCTTTGGCCATTCTGACCCACAATCCTTTGCGCAGCGGAAGTTACGTTGCACTGACTGAGCTGCGTGTACAACCAACGCCCACATATAGCATGGAAGACAACATGACACAGACAACAGAGACAACTTTATTGTGATTATAGTATAATCAATGTTAGGGTTCAACTATGACTACAATATAGAAGATTCTACCAGTATAGGCAGTGGTGTAAGTGTGGTATAAATAATGAATGAATATGACTAAATATGAATACACTATGGGCCAGGTATGAGCAGTATAGACTAGTAAATATATAAATAGTAAAAGTCAAATATGTAGTATTCTGTCTGCACGTGAAGCAGCCTTACATTCACATTACTTTTATTTGTGGTGTAACATACTTGTTTTTAGATATCCTGCTGTATAGAGACTCCAATAGACAGGGCACCAACCTCTACCTCAAAAGTACTGACAGGAACTCAATTCTTCATGGACAATCGTTTCACCCCATCCCACTCAAAAGGAGTTTACCTGTCTCTCAGTTTAATCGTATCCGCCGCATTTGCAGCTCGGATGTGGATTATCATGCTCAAGCCTCTGACCTGGAAAAACGTTTTCAAGACAGACAATACAAACATGAATGGGTGGCACAAGCTCGCAGCCGCTTTGACTCTGTATCCCAATCTGAGTGTCTGAACAATGTTAGTTCTATAGCAACTGAGCCTAAAGTTAACTGTGTTATTCAGTACTCACCTCTTGGTAGAGAACTTCAAAACATCATTCAAAAACATTGGCACATCATCAACTCTGATCCTTCACTTAAATGTTTCTCCACATCTCCTCGAGTTGTGTTCAAGAGACCTCCAAACCTTAGAAACATGTTAGTGAGAGCATATCAGCCGCCTGTGACTCCACCACACTTCTTACAGTCTGTCCCCTCCGGGAATTACAGATGTGGCAACTGTACCCAGTGTAATTTCACACACAAAACCTCTACTTTCAATCATCCACGGAATGGCAAGTCTTTTAACATCAAGGGTGTTATTTCTTGCAATACCAAAAATGTTATCTATTTGCTTAAGTGTCCGTGCGGCCTGGCNNNCGCGCTCTCTCTTTCTCTCTCGCAGTCTCACTCTGTTTCTTTTCTTTTGACTTTTCTAAGATGACAGATGCTGAATATGTACTCCCTATCTGATGCTGTGGCTGTTTGTGGTTGGCTGAGAGGGATGTGAACTCATTAGATTGCAGCTGTGTTAATCAAATCAGGTTGGGTTTCCATTACGCGTGCCAAACGTGCCAAACGGTGCCAAACGGTGCCAATCCCCTTTGATCTGACATCAGATGTGACGGGACAGTCGATATAGAGATACATTTATCTCCTCCTCAGCTGTAAAACGCTCACTCTTTCCAGTTGGTAGGTCCGCCATCTAACTAGCTCTCCGCCGTGCGCTCCAATTGCGCCTCTCTTAAAGGGAATGAGAGGTGACACTCTGATTGGCTTATTGAATGATACGCCCAAAACACACCCATGACACGCCCTGCGTTCTAATACCCATACTACCATACTATTTAGTATGCCAGAAAAAGAATTAGTGTGTCCCAATACATAGTATGTCAGATGCAGTATGCCAAAAGTACCAGGATGTTCTACTACATCCGGTCACACACACTGTGGTTTGATATTTGTCAGAGACGCCTCTACAGAACATTTTTTTCCCTTTAATATCGCATAAATTTATGATGGTCTTCACCTGATGCTTAGCCTGGTTCCAGACCATAGACCCCGCCCACTCAACTGAGTAGGCTTGCATCTCTGGTCTGGCATACTGCAATGAATTTGCGATTTATCTCGTCCAAACGATGGACGGACCAATGAACGCCGGGGGTCTAGCGATTAGCCAATCAGCGCCACGCTGATGTCAAGAGAATAGCAACAATGGCGACTGCTACAGATCCTACAGACCACATTAACGATGCTATCGAGGTATTTCGCCACTACTTGCGTTAATGGAGGACCAAATTAAGGAAGCTGCTAAACTGGATTTAACGGCGATGCAGCTGGGTGTGCACGACGACGGAGACATTTTAAACGGGCAATGCTCGCTTGTTTTCGGCACCCCCGAGGCATGGATACTAATGACGTCAGATTCTGGGTGAGTCGTTGATCTCTACTGATTGGTTAGGGAAAAATCAAATTCCCTCCCCCTTGTAAATCGCCTTCAATGGAGGCAGTGTCAGACTGAAGGTTCTGGGAGCTTCCGTCTGACACTCAGGCTACCTGATGCTCTCTTTATGTGATATTTAAAGTGTGTGGGATATGTTTATATTTATATTTATATTTATATTCATATCTGCACTGCAGGCCTTATACCTGCGCAAATTCTTAAAGATTTTCTAATAGAATCTTTGTAAAGTGGTATTCTGGCTTTGTTGTATTGTACTGCATTTAAAGATTGTTTCTCATCAATCAGAAATATATTTTTCCTTTCTGTTTGATAATATTATGATTGTTCTCACACTTGTGGTTTATCACCTGATTGTGTCAGGTGACCCTAAGGGGTTGTATATATGGAGGTGTACTCACATTCACTTTAGGTCTGATGAAGGGCAGGAGCCCGAAACGTAACATATAAACTAATTTTTCAAGGAGCAGCTTTTGGTGTGCGGACTTTATCTTCAAGGGGGTTAATATGCCTACTGGTGACTAGTTCAATAGACAGGTCACTAATAATAGGCTTGGAACTGTTTACGTGATAACATCAGTTTATTAGAAACAACATACATTACGACATAACAGCAACAGAGCTCTCCGGCACCTCCGACGGTATGCACGACTCTGGCGAGCTCGACGAGAGGATATTTGCTGCATCTCTGAAGTACAACAAAACAAAAAATTCAAATGTGGCGCTACGGACGGCGGCAGAAGTGAGCAAGAGGGTCGGAGTTCACGGAGCGATGTGATGGCGGATGTAGTGTGTCCCAATAGCATGCATACTGCATACTACACTACATACTTTTTAAGGGCAGCTGCAGTACATACTAAAAGTATATAGTAGAAGTATGCGATTTGGAACGCAGGGTAATTCACAGAGTAAGTCCAACCCTTTTAGACTCTCCGCCGTGCGCACAGTCTGAAAACGTGCTGTCTAACTAGCAAGTGACTGGGACACGCCCATGCACCGCACGCCGTCCGCCGTCCGCTTTAGACCATCTAAATAGGGCCCTTGGTGTCTGTAGCTAATGTCAACATTCATGACAACTGTGCGGAGGATTAATTTTTTTTAAACTCACTTGTTTACATTTTATTTAGGCCTAAAGTTACACATATTTAATGATGGAGTGGATTGAGTGACAGGTTGTCTGCAATATGTTGCTGTAGTCTGTAAGTTAGATCCATCCTTCACTTTTCCACAGCCCCACCCTCTCGTCCAAATATGGTCACTTCTGACTCTATAAAATCAATATGGCAACGCCTGAGATGCTGAACTCAAGGTTTCAGAACAGCAGTCTACAAACCAGTGGGTGACGTCATAGTAGCTATGTCCATTACCTTATATCATCTTTTGCTTTGATGCTGTTAAAGAAATGAATAGACATAAAACACTTTGTGTTTGTAAAGAAAAAGAGGGAAACATAATCAATAGAACATTTATTACCAACTGTATCATTGTCTTGAGTGATCATACAGAAAAAAATATGAATCTTATAAGATCCATGTCTTAAAATACTGACACTGATGAAATGCAAAGAAATAGATGTTTAATTATGCCAGTTCAGAAATGACACATTTGCTTAACGTATCCTTTAAATTTTTCAGGCAGCTGTGAAACAGATTCTTTTGGAAACACTGAAGGATTTGAGTTATGAGGAACTTGAGAAATTCAAGTGGTTGCTGCGGTTCACACAGTTCCAGAAGGGTCTTCCACACATCTCATTGAGCCGACTACATCGGGCAGGCAGTGCAGACCCACTGGTGAATCTGATGGTCCAGACTTGTGGCCAGCAGTCTGTGGAGGTGACCAAGGAGGTTTTCATGGACATGAACAGGACTGATCTGGTCAACAAGTTGTCAGTCATCAGCTCAAGAATCAAAGGTCAGAGAAAGAAGACAAAACTGCCACATTACACAATCATATGTTTCTCATAAATGTTTAATAAATAGATTTTAGATTTCATAGTGAAGCTGCATTCAAACTTCATTCAATCAATAAGAAATCTGAAAAATTAGAGAGCAGGCAGCGACGCAACAACACCACATTTATTACTTGGACTGCAGAAATCACTGAGTTGAATTCAACCTCTTTGATTTTCATGATGTCACTACTGAGTAGATTTTAGTGTCAGTTTTGCAGCAGTGAATTCTTTGTGTTCAATTTTCTTGAAAGTAAATGAACCTTATTAAAGAGAAGCTAAATATAAGTTACAGTTTACAGTATAATACAGAACATCAAGGCCAAATACTATGACCTCAAAAGTGACCACTTGAATCAACACCTCTGACACACTGAATATCTTAATTTGACAGCTTTGTAAATTATATATTTTGCTGCAGGACCACCGCTCAACCTGGATCAGTCTTGGTTAAGGTGCTGGAAACATAAAAATCCAAAAGCAAAGAAAGGATTTCCGCACACTTGCATCTGTGCAATACTTGACTTTATATACTTTACTTTAAAGTGAAGTATTGCACAGATGTATATTTGATATATGATATATATTTTGACACATTTCAAACATTATAATCTTTATAAATGTCGTGTTTGTTGCAGGACTTTTGTATCGCAGTCCTTTAGATTTAATGGGTGTTAATGATAAGGTGTCCAACCTCTCTCATTCTGTTTTTATGATGTCAGATCCAAGCCCATTTAGTGTTATTTTGCGATGAATCCTCCATATGGTATTTTATTCAAAAGCAACTAAATCTGAGTAAAGTTTATTATAGTCTGATTTTTAATCTGTAAAGAGTCATTTTCTGTTTTCTTTCTCCTCAGAGAAACATCCATCTGAACTGCTCCAGAAAGTGAGTAATGTCACATCAGACACATTTTACATAACACAGCTTTCATTTAATTTTTACAGTTTGAAAATGATCCTCATGTTGACAGTAAAGAGGTGGAAAAAGGTTTTAAACCAGAAAAATCACATCTGCTGGAAAAACAATGGGAACATGTGATCAGGTGGATCATTCCTGCTTTTGGTAGCACAGTGACAGAGAGAGTTAGAGACAGTCGTTAAAGCACAATTACTGATAACTAGTTTATAGCATTAAATGGAGCACACTGGCCCTCATTTATCAATCTAATGTACAAACCAGCACAAAACCAAACGCAGAAATCATCTAACAGGGTTCATGTTTTAAAAACATTTGTATCTCGACTATCACAGTGTACAAATGATGGGGCGTTGATAAATGTGACTGTGGAAAACAATCGTCATTTGGGTGGGTGCCCACCTTGAAACTGAGCTGATTGTATAGACCCTCTGTGCTGTCAGGGACAAGATGTGTGTGAAGCATCTATGTTTCCACAGTCATGGATGTAAACTGTCAGAGAAATTTGACTGATGTGTTGAGGCATACAGCCAGGGGGTGGTAATTCTAGTTTTATCTTAGGTTTTTATAATAGATAATATAAACATGCTTTGGCTTGTCAGTGTTGACAAAAAAGAGCTTCAGATAAATTAGAGGCAGGCACCAGTGGTGTTCAGCCTTTGGTCAGTAACACAGAGCCAGGTGACTGTGAGCTGTGATAGAGAGACTGTGTCCATGTGGCAGCTATACATTTTGAAGTGATTAATATGTGGCTGCAAATACTTAATATGCCTGTCAGAATATGGTCTAATTACAATTATCCAACTCAGCCAGATTTACTCTGCTGTACCATTAGTCCACGCTGACACAACCTTGTGCACGAGTTGAGACGTGATGTGAGACTTGATCATAGCCTCCACTCACATCCACGCTGATCAATACGTTTTGCGTGGAAATGACAGAATGCCCAGTTTTCTGTCATACGTTCATTTCATAAATGAGGGCCACTGTATTGTGATGAAGCTACAGAAATGAACACATGTGGAAGTTCTTTGTTTTTATAGTCAATTTATCATTTTGCCTAATGTGGTTAATATTAGTTGTTACAAATAAATTAATGTATTATTACTACAGTGGAAATATGACAAAAATGCCCTCTGACTACTTTGTGTCCATCAGGAAGTCACCATGACACTACTAATGGAGAAGCTTTTGGAAACACTGGAAGATTTAAGACCGTGGGAACTCGAGGAATTCAAGCGTGTCCTAAAGCGCATTAGAATGAAGAAAGGCCTCCCTCAAATCTCAACAAAGAGAATGTGGAAGGCAAGCGGAGTTGGCATGTTGAAGCTGATGGTGGAGATCGACGGCCAACAGTCTGTGGAGGTGACAAGGGAGGTTTTAATGGAGATGAACAGGACTGATCTGGCAGAGATGCTGTCAGAAACCAGCTCAGGACACAAAGGTTAGATGAAGAATGCAAAAACCACCACATTACACAATCATATGTCTCATAAATGTTTATTTGATTTTTTCTTTATATTTTACGTGCGTGTGTGTGTGTGTGTGTGTGTGTGTGTATGAAGCACTTTGTAGCTGTGTTTTAAAATGCTGTATAAGTAAAGCTTTATTTTCTTGTTCACTATTGAAGAATTCATAGTAAAACTGGGTTCAAACTTTATTCAATCAAAAATAAAAAATATGAAATATTAGGGAGCAGGCAGCAATTTAAAAACACCACATTCATTACTTTCACTGCAGAAATCATTGAGTTGAATCCAGCTACTTTGAGGGTACAGTTCACAGAATGATAGAGAACATCAAGCGTAAATACTTTGACCTCAAAAGTGACCACCTGAATCAACACCTCTCTGACACACACTGAATATTGCCATTGAACAGCTTTGTAAATTATATATTTTGACACATTTTAAACATTATAATCTTTAAAAACGTAGTGTTTGTCGCAGGACTTTTGTATTGGAGTCATTTAGATTTAATGGGTGTTAATGATACAGTGTCCAACCAGTCTCCCTGATTTTAGATCAGATCTGAGCCCAATTTAGTTTTAATATGTGATTAATCCTTAATATTATTTTTTAATTCAAAAACAACTAAATCTGACTAAAGTCGTTTATAGTCTGATTTTGAATCACTCATGGGTCATTTTCTGTTTTCTTTCTCTTCAGAGAAACGTCTATCTGAACTGCTCCAGAAAGTGAGTAATGTCACATCAGACACATTTTACACAACACACCTTTTGTTTCATTTTTACAGGTTGAAAATGATCCTCATGTTGACACTAAAGAGGTGGAAAAAGGTTTTAAACCATAAACATCAAATCTGATGTAGAAGCAGTGAGAACATGAGATCAGGTGGATCATTACTAGTTATGGTAGCACAGTGACAGAGAGAGTTAGAGACAGTCAATTAAACAAAATTACTGATAACCAGTTCATAAATGAATAATTTGGTGTATCATTGTGCCTTATTGTGATTTTTAGTTGTTACAATACTCTCTTGACTTAAAACCTTTTAGATAAATTAGTGCATCATCACTACAGTGGAGACATGACAGAAATGTCCTCTGACTACTTTGTGTCCATCAGGAAGTCACCATGACACCACTAATGGAGAAGCTTTTAGAAACACTTGAAGATTTAAGTCCCGGGGAGCTCGAGAAATTCAAGCATATCTTGCAGTACACTAAAATGGAGAAAGAGCTCCCAAAAATCCCACGACACCAAATGGAGACGGCAGACAGAGATGAAATAGTGGAGCTGATGGTGAAGCTCTACGGCCAACAGTCTGTGGAGGTGACTTGCAAAGTTTTGATGGAGATGAACAGGACTGATCTGGCAGAGATGCTGTCAGGAACCAGCTCAGGACTCAAAGGTAAGATGAAGAAGACAGAAACTGAAATATTACACAATCATACTGTATGTTTCAAAAATATCTAATAGATTTCCAAATTCATAGTAACAAGGTAAATCTGCTTGGGTTCAAACAGTAATGTGAAATATGAAAAAATTAGGGAGCAGACAGCGATGCAACAACAGCACATTCATCACTTTTCATTACATTACTGAGGACGATCAGCCATAACTACCTCCCAGGGAAATTGATGCTTGGTGCTTACACTAATGCCTAATGCAGCAGCTGAAACTGTGCAATGTCACCTCAACAGTGGCACTCTGTACCTCTCCAACATGACCCTTTTTAAAAGATACACACTCCAACTGCCACTGAAATCAATCCACCTCGGCCACAGGCAGGAGAAGTTAGGTTCATGTTTGAGCTGAGAAATTCATCTGTGCAGAGTGGCAGGGCGATGAAGAAGTGACCCACATGGAGGAAGAGACACACAGCAACAAGGGAGCTGGACAACTTGGGAGGCAGTCACCAACAGAGCTATAACTTGAGACAATATGTTCAGGATCCCACAAGCAAGATTAAGCTCACTCATCAGGTCTACATACAGTAGCTTCCCAAGTCCCAGAAATGTGAATTGCCATCTTTGCAATGCCCAAAAACCAAGCTTGAAACATATTCACTCCACTGACCCAGGGCCAGTACAGCTGATGCTATGACCAGGTCCTGCAAAAGCTGGCAGAGGTCTGATCAGCACACAGACTAGAATTAAATAAGGCCAGCACCTCAACATCACAACTACAAATCCATTTCATCAGTCAATGAGGTGGAACACAGAACATTACACAGAAAGAAGATGAGACTGTCATTCTGTCAGTCTGTCTCTTACTGCACTGACAGTTTGCTCCAACACGGACACACACCACAAAAAACAAAACAAAACAAACTGTCAGGACCAACACATCATTTTCTATCACCACTCCAAGAAGAAAACAGGAGCATCTTGATGGCCAGTGGAGAAATCTGATGATTACTGACCTGCTGCATGTATACACAGTTTAACAGTAACCTGGTTACCACAGCGCATGTAAACACATTGAATATAGCATGACCACAACATCAACACCCATTACTGTACACTTTACATTACAATCCTAACCTACTGTTACATATTGCTCTCATGTTTGAGCAGCACAATCTAGCATATGATGCAAAACACATGCAATGTTATGTGATTTAATGTATCGTATATTTTTGATCCTCTGTGTCTTCACAAGGGCCTTCAAGAAGCCTGGAGCTTGAGGGTTGTGGAAGCATTATGGTAATTCCTTACATCCATTCATTTGTTTAGTTTAGTTTATTATGATCCCCATTAGCTACTGCATTTCAGCAGCTATTCTTCTGTTGAGTTTATTTGTTATCAGTTAATGTGAAGTTACTAAAACACATCTTCACGTCTTCGTAAAAATGACTGTCCTCTGCAGCAGGACTCCAGTGACTGGACTAAAGTTGAACCTGAAGTGATCAGTACAGATGCAAACAAGGCTTCAACTTACAGGTAAATATAAGATCCTAAATGTTCCATCACAGCTAAGCTTCAACGTTTGGGGCTGAAAAATGAAGCTTACACTGAAGCAATGTCAGGAACCAGACTGACAGTGATGAGCCTCTGAGGGTGAAGCCCATATTTTGGGATTATCCAGTAGGGCTGGGAATCACCAGAAGATCCATGATATGATATTATCATGTAACTTAAGTCACCATACAATATTAATGCCATATTAAATATGTTGCCATATGCTGAGTGTTGTGATAAAATATATTGTGATTTATTAGCTTTTTTCAACTGAAATTATGTCCCCAAAGAAAAACGGTCAACATCCGTTTTATCTAATAAGAAAAAGTTTTCAGTCTGTTCATCTCACTTCAGCCATTTTTTTCAGCAGCAAAATGTATCTAGTGGACTGAAAAACCAATGATCATATTATTCTAGTAGACTACCAAAAGCTGATTTATATTTTAAAATTAATAATACATATTATAAAAAAAATTGATACTGTGTGATGATACAACATTGCCACACAAAAATATCACGATACTCTGCTGTATGGATTTACCCCCACTCCTATTATCCAGTATAGCAAGCTGATATCCAAACCAAGACTTCCTCTGTGTGCCCGTCATTTCAACTAATCTCTATATCTGCATATGAATGCAGATCATTTTCAAAAGGATAATACAAAGCTAACTTGTTGTCAGGAGATAGCTGATTGGATCAGAGATTACATTTCAGCCAGTGCGTTTCACCACTCCCCACAAACTGTTAACCATTGTTGTGGGTAACATTTTACAAAAGTAATAGTGTTGCAATACTATATTACATTTTTGCAGTAACAAAGTAATACAACACGTCACCAACAGGATTTCAGGTAATATCATTACATTTACATTATCAGGTAATGTGTCACCATCCAAAATAAACTGTCCATTGTTTTCTTTTTTCACACTGATCCACATAGCTCCACTTTCACCAGTGCACCACCACAAAAAGTATCCCCCGAAGGTTATTGTGTATTCTGTGTCATTACAGACTACATTATAGAAGGGTTCCAGTGATTTGTTTATAGAGATTAACACAGAAGTGCCAAAAACTGCAGGTCCTCAAATGGCCACTTGAGACTGGCTCCAAAAGGGAGTTCATCCTCATAGACCCCCATGTTAAAATGCCCAACTTATCAGCAGAAATAAATATGTTTACAGCCTGGTACAAAAATGTTTTGGTGAGTTTTTAAATAACACGGCCCTCTCATCCAAATTCAGTCACTTGTGGCGCCAAAGATCCTGGAGGGACGGCCAAAATTTCAAATCAAGAATTCAGAATAGTCCACACAGCAATGAGTAACGTCACGGTGGCTATATACATTATCTTTACAGTCTATGGTCACAGAGAACTGGAACTAAAGGAAACCCTCAAGCTTGGTTCTTAGGATGTTTTCACAGAAGGGAATCTGTAATCTTTCTCTGTGCTGTTACCGGTTATACTAATGCAGTATAACAAATATAGTGGCAATAGAGTTAACACCAAATAAACTGAAGGCTAATATGTTTAGAATTTCACATTTATTCTTTTCTGACCTTAATACAGGATTTTTGTGCATAGACACAAACTCACTTGTTTTTTTTCCATTCACATTTTAGCCTACAGTCTGAAGCAGGAAACTTTGAATGCAGTGTCTCTGGCTTGCGCTGGGTCTGTAAGGAAAAGGTCAGCTTTAAGTACCAGTTTTGCTCTTTGAGTGGACACTTTGGGAGGATTGAAAGGATGAAGTACATGCCTGCAGGTCCCCTGATGGACATCACAGTCATTGCTGGGAAGTTAGATGTAGTGTACCTGCCACACTGGATCTGCATAGGTAAGTGGACATGAAGAAAATAATGAAAAATAAAATGTAGTAACTTTTTATTTTTGACAGCACGAGTACAAAAACTGATGCAATCATTTTCTCTTCACTTACTGTGCTTTTGTTTTGTGCAGATGACAATCCAACAATATTAGACAAGTTTGCAGTCCTACACATAGATGACTGTGGAGATGTCGTGGAAAAAGTGTCTGAGGTCACATCGTCCCATGTCAAGCTGTCTGACCCAGATTTCTCTCTATTAATGGTCCTGTTGGACTGGTTGGGCCTTCCAGTGGAAATATACTGTATGGTGTTAATATATAGCAAGATTCTCACAGCATCATCTCAAACATCCCTCACACTCCATGTTTACCTGATCCCATCTGATCTTGGTCTACAAGAGGTTATTTTATGTCTTACTGTCAACAATCCCAGTCATAATAAGATACAGAATGACACTATAAATTAATTGGTAAATACACAACACAGATAACAATATTTTTGATTTGTTTTGTTTTTTTCCTACAGGAATTGGATTCAAGAGAAAAATCCTATGGATTCAAGGGAATCCGAAAGCCAAAACCAGAAAAGTCCCTGAAAATGCAAAATTGGTTCACCTTAACGACAGATCAGGATGGTGCAGAGATTTATCCTGAAGGCGAGAAACCCCAGGTGAAAACCTATTTTTTTTATGCACTACCAACCATAACATGTCTTCTCTCTTTCTGTTCTAGAAATGTATTCAAAAGGTACATATTTAATTAGACAGTGACTGTATCTAATTACAAAAAATAATTGTTTCATCTGCAGCAGTTTCATGGTGATATCTAAAAGTTAAATCTTTTACCCTGGTGTCTTATCTTGGGTCTTAAAATGTGTGGAATTTTACAATGTATAAATGAGTTTCATCTCATACTGTGGGCCAAAAATGTCCACTTCAGTGGCACTTATATACACCAAAGTTTTATTACTGTCTATATTCTGGTGGTTTTACTGAGGGGTTTATTCATATCTCACTCATTACCTGATTTATGTAACATTTTAGTTCTAAAAAGATCGTGAAAATCTTCTTTTTTCATGGCTCACATTAAAATATCTGCAGTCATGACCATGCCTGGCTCCATGTGGTCTTCCATTTTAGCCAGACAGTTTAGCAATATTTGGCAATATACAGCAGATAAATTAATTTTTCTGTGTCTGTCTCTGATGTCTTTGATGGAAGTGAAAAAACACCACAACTTAACCTCATATGATGAAAGAAAAAAAATCTCCTGGTGCACTTTGTTCAAAGTCTGACTTCTTATTTATTATTATTTCTTACTTTCACAGAAAAGCACATTAATGCTCAGATACAACAGCACAGATCCAAACTTCTATGAAGTGGTCGTTCAAAATCCAGACAAAGACTTTAAGCTCATGCTCACACCGGAAAATGGGCATCAACCAGTTTGGACCTGTAAAATTCTAAAAGGTCAGTTTTAAACAATACCACAAGAACTTATCCACTCTGTCTGTGTACCACTTTGATTTTATTAAATATCATTAGTGTAGCAGATGTGTGATGTTAGATAAAGGCAGTAAATCAGTTACATGTCCATGTTTTCTTTACCTCTGCTTTTTTTCTCAGGTGAATGGCAAAGCACTGGCCATGTACAAGGTGAGTCATTTAAAATAATTTGTGTTTAAAAGAGTTTTTGTTAGACACTGTCTTTCTGCCTGTTCGCTGTGCTGCTCCAAGACAAACACACATCTTCAAAAAAAGCTAAGTCAGGACCAACTCAGCGTTTTCTATCAGTACTACTGTTAGAATAATAAAGCTTTGCTTCCAAAAATAAGTCCGGGGGCCAGTGAAAAATCTGATAATTGACCTGCTTCAAATTCACATAAATGTCCATAAAGAGCTGAACTTTGAAATTTGAATGATGTTTGTGGCTCAGGGCATGCAGCAGGAGTACTCAACCAAAAAATGCACAGAAGAATAATTATAAAGCTGGGTTTAATAATAAAGTTGGTTAAGATGGCTGCTGGTTCCAGTCCAGTTTTGTGTTTGTGCACCCATCCTCTTCTTGGTGTACAGTGTACTGTAATGACGTTTGTCCTTAACATAGAGACACCACCAGGATCTTGCTGGCTTATCGTAAAAAAGGAAAGATGTTAGGCTAGGCGGTATAATGGTGTGAAATTCCTGCCTCAAAGAAGCAGTGTAAAATGGTCTAGTGACTATGAAGAGGAGCAATCAATTTGTTTTGACTCCTGACTGACTTGGTGCAGACACTGACTTGGTGTTGTCCACTAGAGAGAAGACGTATCACTCTGTTGGAGCTGTTGAAACTACAAAAATACTCATGATTGTTAGAGAGTGGAGGTTCTTTGCTCACAAAAGATCTTTTACTGAGTACAAAACCATCGACTGGAAAGACGATGCAAAAATGGCAAGTTTAATTTTGGCCTTTCGTCAAGTTATTTATCAGCAATGCTGCAACGACCTGCTGCCAGCGACGTCGGTCATTATGTGATAAATCTCTTTGTATAGTTTATCTTTATGATCAAGAGTCTGAGGCAAATAGTCATGATCAGATTTTAAATCAGTCACTCATGTAACATTTTTTCTTTCCTTTCTCCTCAGAGAAACACTCAGTGGACAAACACCAGGTGAGTGATCTCACATGCCTTAAATTTGATGGTTCTCTCACAACTGATGCTGCAGTCAGTGAGCTTCTCAGCAATAATATTATCCACCAATACATAATGTTATAGTTAAATGACATAGTTAAATCATATCCATTTATTTATTCACTTTGAATTTATCAGGAAGCAGCAATCACAGTGGCAGGATAGAAGCTTCTGAATATGCTGAAAGAGTTGAAAAGTGAAGAGTTCAAAGAATTCAAGTGGCGCCTCCCACGCATCACAGAGAGCCAACGGGAGAACACTGACAGGGTAGACCTGGTGAAATTCATGCTGCAGACCTACAGCCAAGAGTCTGTGGAGGTGGCCAAAGAGGTTTTAAAGAAAATTCCCAGGAATGATCTGGTGCAGCTGTTGTCAGACACCAGCTCAGGTTCAGAAGGTAAGTTGTGGAACAAAAACAGCAGTAGCATATTCAGGGGCACCATCAACTATAAATCAGGTGTGAAGTCAAATTAGTTCATAAAAGAAAGCTCTCTGGCATTTATTTTCTGTATGTATTTGTTCATGTTTTACAAAGGGTTTAATCTGAGCCATGCGGTACAATGATAGCAATCATTTCACATCCATACAGGGTTAAAGGTGCACAGCTGTTAAAAATATTTTTTTAATACAATGGTATCAGCCAATATAGTTCAGGTATCAGCATCAGGAAGGAAGAGCTGGTCTCAGAACATCTCTAACTGCAGCATAGGCACACTAAAGGCAGAAACAGAGTCATTTAATAAGACAGCAGCAAGATGATCGGTTAACAATAGCGATAGTGAGCATTATCATGGCTACATACAGCCGCACAGAGTCACTGGCATGACTGTAGACTTCACTTTTTTGCAATGAAGGTTTTGACATGTATTTTGTTAAAAACAACTGATAAAGATCTGATGTCACTGATATTTTTAATTTCCTTCCTCCTCAGCGAAACACTGATCCAGACCATGAGCACAGCATGTCCGCCTGACTCTGCACAACACAGCTTTCATTCAAACATGCTGGATGAAACTCATTGTCACCTTGAACTGATCAATTATGATACAAACCAAAATTTGTATCATGTAAACCTGTCACAGAACTGAGGCTGTATGATTCTCTTGAACAACAATGTGTTCTTCATAATGTAACGATGCAGTGATCTCATTGAGGAACTCACAAGGAAATGTGAGTTTTTATGCCGCTGGGGCTGAGACGTATTGTTTTTGGGTTAGCTGTCTGTCCATTTGTCTGACTGTCTGTCTGTCTGTCCCACTCACATGAACACAATACCTCAAGAAGGCCTCCTGGGAATTTCTTCAAATTTGGCACAAATGTTCACTTCGCATGAACAGATTTGAATTTGGTGGTCTAAGGTCAAGATCAGTTCACACGACTTTGACCATAACTCAAGAAGTTAGTATATGACACACTATATTTAAATTTTTCAGCATTAATTTTTAATAACATACTATATTATGACTCTGTATTGTTATTTATATCATGTCACCTGACGTTGGCCTTAATGTGTAACCTTCCTCTCATAAATTTATGACTTCATTGGTGTAAACTGTGAGAGCAACTTGAGTGCTTTGCAGAGGCATACAGTACAACAGTGAGGATGCACAGAAGTCTACAATGATTGTAAATAATTTTAAGGATGAAGTTGGGGATTTCCTCATAGCAACAGAATAGCCAAAAGAAATATTTGAACCAGTTTACAGAATTAAAGGAGTAAGGGGGTATAAAGAGAATCATCTTTTGCTCTGATGATGTTTAGGAAATGCAAAAACATAACAGTATTTTATGGTCCACAGAATATCTGATCTGGTGTAGACATTTGAACCAGAGGCTGTTATAACACTTTATTAATGCAGGATGTAAAAATTTCTGAAGTGTGGAGGATTGTGTTTTTTTTTCTTTCTTTATCCTGTTTTGTTTCGTTTTATTTTATTTTCAAATCCCATTCATATGTGTTTTTATATTTGAGTATATATTTTCTTAAAATCTTTTCATGTCTTAAATTGAGCACACGTTATTTTTTGTTGTTGTTACAGGTGGAGAGTCATTAAAAAAATGTTCTGATAACTGTTTAAACCATTTTTCATGCAAAAACATTAAATGGTTCCAGCTACTTAAATATGAGGACTTGCTGCTTTCCCTTTAAATTAGTTTAATAATTTTAATCTTTTAAATGTGTTTAAAGTTCTCTGCATTGAGTCCTTTTACTCTTAATACTTAAATACATTTTCCTTGTTATACTGACATACTTTTATTAAAGTAACATTTTCAATGCAGGACTGTTAGTAGTAACAGAGTATTTTTAAAGTGTGGTATAAGTAAGTAAAAGATCTGAATACTTCCTTCATCACTGATGCTGAAAAATCAAATGTTTTGTCATTGCTGTTTTTTTTTTTTATTTTCCAGTAAGCCAGCACTGACTGTAAAATCACATTTAACTTAAGTCTGTTATATGACATTATCACACTTGTCCTGCTCCACCTCGTCACATATCGACATTTGGTCATGGACTTTCCATGTCCACATACAGTGTGCAAGGTACCTTGGGTGTGTTGGTTGTTAACATTGTTAACGTTCTGTCAAGTTCTGCCTGTTACATGCATTGTCTTCTTTCAAGATACGCTTCCATTTTCACAGGAAATTTACCGTTTATCTACAGTCTTTAGATACTCCACCGACCTTCCGCCTTGCTCCCTGCAACTGCTGCCTGCTCCCCAGGAGGAGAGCAGGCAGCAGCTCGGGAGATGGACTTTCTGGCGGTGGCTGTAGCAGCTGCGATTAGAAACATTTTCTCTTCATCGCTTAAACACCAAGCTAATTATCGACACTAGGGATGCACGATAATATCAGCACGTCATCAGTACTGTCCAATATCGGCTTTAAAATGAGCTGTCAGAATTGGCCACCATGCTCTTTGTTATTTTGAACAAAGAATGAATATTACATACATTGAAAAGCATTGTATTTCATGTCTCCATCTGCTGGTGGGCCATCACAACTAGAGTGTGTATGTATCATATGATGTTAATTCCACTGCAGAAGAGACTTGATGATCACTAGAATTAGGTGGATAATTAAGCGGATATATCTGTCAGTATTGGTTATTGGTCAGATGAGTTGTTCCTCATTGGCATATTGGATATCGGTTCTAATTGAGTGCTGCATCATTTCATGTTCACCCACACAAAGCCACAGAAGTGAGTAATAGTTACTTTTCTGTTGCTGTTCAATGTAAGATAATACGACAACTGTTCAGATAATTGTGTTTCTCAGTAGCCTACAATATGATACCTTCCTCAGCTGAGGTGGTCTAAGGTGGAAGAGCCTTCTCCCCTTCTTCATCTAGTCTCTACAACCAAGAGCAGTCCCAGCAGCGGGTCAAGCAGTATGTTTCCAAATTTGTTTTTTTCATTTGATTTCCAGTTTCATTTCCAAGCTGTCCTTGTTTTTTGTTGCAGAACCCTTTGTTGGCACATGTGCGAAATGCCAGGAGGAGACCTTTACATTTAGGCACTGGACTTGAAAATTCACTTGGCCTGGATAAGGACTGAACCTTTAACTTTGTGATCTCCAAGCAGCCCTTCAACAGCCTGAGCTATTCCTCCTCACACTTAAACTGTGTTTAACAAAGCCTTTCACTCTCTCCTCTGGACAGCGGCCTTTAAAATTCACTTAGCCTCAATGAGGGTAGCTGTAGAGGTGGGGCATTGGAAGATCCAGATCCAGATCTTAAGGTGGAGACATGCCGAAGCTGAGCCCCTCCTCTTGAGAATTCTAAAGGCGTAGGATGTCACTGTGGCATAAGTGCAGCACACAGAGGAGGGAGGTGGTGAAAGAAAATAATAGATAGAGATAGCCAATCAGGAGCCGAGAATACATATATTAGACCTTTCATTTTACATATACTGTTAACTTTATTTACACATACCACCATACTGACAAAAATATGCATGACGTCCAGTTTAGTGGACAGATGATTAATAGTAATTTATTCCCAACATAAAATCAATACTTGGATATTTTAATTGTATGTCTTACTCTTATTACTTGATGTTAACAGATTTTACTTACCTACAAGCGTCTCCCATTATAGTAGGATTGGCTCTGTCGGCCATCTTGAGAGTTGCAAAGGACTGTCTTGATAGAGTTCCTGCGTATCTTATAAAAGGGGACCAGGTTGTATAAGAGTGGGTATTTTCAACCAAAACATGATCTTCTCCTATCCATAACTGAGAGTTTTTTGTGCCTACACCAAACCACGTTAACAAAGCCGTAGTGAAACATAAAGAAAAGTTAAGTTCCAAACAAACATTCAAACATTCATCTTCAGTATGTGCAATGAATGGTCGTACCTGTTTTATGTTTTTAATACATATTTATTGTTACAGTATCACAATTTCTAAATTGCAATTGCAAAGTGCTTTAAGACATAAAAATGATTTGAGAAAATAAATACAGTAAATATAAAAATACATATAAATGGGATTTTAAGATTTTCATCCTTAAAAATATTTACAATCATTTTACACTTTTCTGTTAAAAACTTTGGAAAAATCAGTTTGACTGAAAAGAATAAAAAACTCATGTTTCCTCTTGTGCTCCTCGATTCTAGAGATCACAATATCCTTACATTACTGAAGAAATCACTGTTGCTGCAGAGATTAATACAGCCTCATTTCTGCGACAGGTTTATCATGATGCCAATTTTGGTCTGTGTCATACTTTATCAGTTCAAGGTGAGGATGAATTCCAGCCAGCATGTATTAAATGTTGTGTAGAGTCAGATGATGTGTCTCTGCTCACTTTCTGGATCAGTGCAGACAGATGTTCATCCACAGAGTTTCTCTGAAGAAAGGAAATTTAACAATCGTTGACATCAGCTCATAATCAGTTGCTTTAAATAAAATATAATTTAAGCCTTTCCTTGTAAAAAAAATTGAAGTCTACAGTCATGCTAGAGACTCTGTGAGGCTGTATGTTGACATGATAATGATAAAAAGATATAATGTTTGCCATGATCACCATCTTAGTTTAGCATTCTAGGAAGCGTGCTTGGCATTTATGTCAATTTAAGTAGCGGCCAAACAGTGAAATTACAATGTACAGTTCCGTGACGTGATGCCATTGGGCCCAAATAGGTTTTTTCCCATAGACATACATTGGGAAAGCACATCTGTAAATCAGTGGGTACATTTTTTTAAGCGACACAACGCCCACAAAATGACTCATTTTAGTATCAGGGTCTGATAACATCTGGAAAGTGTAGAAGAGCTGCAAGATTAAATAATTTTATCCTCATTCAAGTTAAAAGAGTGCTGAACCACAAGTAGCCAGCTCAGTTGATGGAAGTCTCTAGTGCATTTGTTCTTCATGCTTAGTGGCTTCATGTGCCAATAAGAAACTTTCATAAGACTGAATGAGGTCCCATTTCCATTGCTTTATACATCTATGTTCTCACTGGACTGAAAAGGCGCCGTCTTGGGGTCCAGTATCCAGATCTAATTAGACATCCATGGCATTTGGTCATCAACTTAAGTACTGGACAATAATCATTTTTAAACCAGATGATCGTGCGACAGGAAAAGTTGAGGGATCACCAAAGTGATCACAATCCAGCCTGAGGGGAGCATCCATCCAAAAACAAACACAAAATGCCAACCTCAGGGTGGCGCTAGAGGCAAAGTCTGATGATCACCAAAGATATGAGTCATCCTCTGGACACCATGAAAATTTGTACAAAAGTTTTAAATGGCGATCCAAGAGGGTGAACCAACCGGCTGTAACTGCCACACCTGGAGCCACTCACACTGCTAAAAAACAATCAGTGATTTTATCTAATTAAGACTTATCAACATGGCAACATGTGCTAATAAAACATTTAAAGTTCTCACATTGACTCATGCAGTGAAGAAAATGACTTTAAAGCCACAGTATGATGTTTATGTAACATGTTATCATGGTTTGGGCACATACCTCCCTCTGTGGTGTTCACACCAGATGCTCAAGCTGATGATCCTGCAGCTGCAACACATTTAATGAAAATTAAATTAGGGTAAAAGCAACCATGTTTGCTTTGTTTCTAATAAACCACAACATGTAGGCACACAGGTAAAGGCCTTTTCAGGCATGGAAGATGAATCATTGCTGCCTTCATCAACAGTATCTGTTAGAGGGATAGTTTGGATTTTTGAGGTGGGGCTGTATGAGGTACTGATCCACTGTCAGTGTATTACAAACAGTCAATGGCAGTCGATGCCCCCAGTTTGGAGAATCAGCCAATAACGCTTCACTGTATATCTGTACATATTTTTCTACTGTTAATAATATATATTTTTGTTTATCTCATTGTGCTGTGGTACACAAGTATGACTGTACAATGACAATAAAGATTTATCTTATCTTATCAAGAACACCGCCGCTGAAGCTAAGCATTATACTGCTATAGAGAGGGGCAGCAGCAAAATGCATTTTAGCTACCTAATAAAAACCCCAACTAAAAAATATATAACAGTTCAAGTATACGCTATATTGAGAATATTTTCACCACAGAGAGTCCTTTCCAACGCCAATGGCTTCAGTTTCACATCAATGCTCTCGTCAAAGCCACCAGACTCCACTTAGAAAAACAGTAACTTAAGCTCAGTGAACACAGGAGCTGCTGATCTACTGCTGCCTCGATAAGTTAGTTAGTTTGGGTTATTGTGTAACTTTAGTGAGTCCAAACTTACCATTTAAAACACCAGAGTCACACAACAGCATAAACAAACTAAATGATTGAGGCATCAGTAGACCAGCAGCTCCTTTGTTCAGCGATGTTAAATCACTGTTTTTCTTAATGGAGTCTGGTGACTTTCATGAGAGGGAAAGGGGAACTGATGAAATATAACAGCTTCAGTTCCTGTCGGAAATATCTGTCTTATGCCAAAATAAAGCAAAAAGAGTATTGTACACTTAAAGTTATACAGATTTTTTTTAGGTGGCTAAAATACATTTTCCTTAGTATGTGTGTTGCACTCCAGCCTGCTTCTCCAAACTGGGGTGTGTCAACCGCTGTCTACTGTAGGTAATACACTGACTATGGATAAGTATCTCATACAATCCTGAATGTCTGGATCAGAAAAAAGGTAAGCACACATAGGCAGGTGCTTGGCAAACGGGCTATCTGTGACATGCCAAACAGATTTGGAGAAACAATGATTTGTGATATAAACCTGCTTTATTCAGTGTTTTATCAGTTTGAATCACCTGGTCTGTTTGTTCTTTAGAAGAAGAGACCTCTGCAGATAATTTGACTCCCACCAAAAACCTCCTGAACAATAAACACTGAAGGAATTTTAACTAGGAGAAGTTTCAGCTGGTTGGAATCTACAATCCTCACAGCTAGATGCCACTAAATCCTCCTAAATCTTACACACTGGACCTTTAAAGTTTATTAACAAATTACATTGTTTTGGATAGATGCATAGACCTGTGCACTCACAAATACCTGATCCAGCATGTTAAGCAGTATCAGAGGCACTTCCAATGCTAGTATCAGTATCGGGACAACTCTACCCTCCATCTCTGTCACCGCCTAGTCTGCACAGCTACATGAGCTTCATGAGCCTATCAGTCTTAGAGTCACCAGCTGACACCATGGGGGGTTCATCTTGCTGCTGCTCAGGGCGAACGCCCCTCGATTACAAAATCTTCCTGTAGAGTCTAAGCACCAAAGACTTTTCTGTCAAATCTTAATCATCACATATCATCTGTTAATCTGTACACCTGTAATCTGTAATACACAATTATCTTAACTTTATTCACCTGTCTCTCCTGATTGAACTGTTACTATAGACAACATCTTTAACTAAGTCACTCACTCACTGTGAGGACTACAGCAAACATTAGTTTTGCCCATGATAACTTCATCTACATAATACAATCATGACCTGTACTCACAATATGTAAATTCAAAAGCTACATGACTGTCAACATGTATTTTCAATGAAGAGCTACCCTGCATACAAAGTTTCTGATTTATAGTTTAAGTATAAGATGGTGCCCCTGAATATGCTACTGCTGTTTTTGTTCCACAACTTACCTTCTGACCCTGAGCTGGTGTCTGACAACAGCTGCACCAGATCATTTCTGCCAATTTCCTTTAAAATATCTTTGGCCACCTCCACAGACTCTTGGGTGTAGGTCTGCAGCATCAGATTAACCAGGTCTACCCTGTCAGTGTTCTGCCGTTGGCTCTTTGAGATGCGTAGGAGGTACCACTTGAATTCTTTGAACTCTTCTTCTGTCAATTCTTTGAGCATTTTGAAAAGCCTCTTTCCGTCAGCTGCTTCCTGATGAATCCAAAGTGAATAAACAAACGGATATGATTTAACTCTAACTGTAATGATAATATCCAAAATATTCAAAATAAGTCATGAGTTTGGTTTATGACTGAATTGCTTATTGACTGAAAACTGTGTTGAATAAAGTCAAAGACTGATGTGAGATCACTCACCTGGTGTTTGTCCACTGAGTGTTTCTCTGAGGAGAAAGGAAAGAAAATATGTTACATGAGTGACTGATTTAAAATCTGACCATGACTATTTTTTATCAGACTCTCTTGATTCATAAAGATAAACTATACAAAGAAGTTTATCACAGCAGGTCATTTTCATTTTGCTGATTAATTCTGTGAGTGACTTGATGAAAAGCCAAAATGAAACTTGACAGGTTTGTGTTGTCTCTCCAGTTGGTGTTTGTACTCAGTCAAAGATCTTTTGTGAGCGAAGAACCACTCTGACAGTCACAATTGTGACTCCAATAGTGTGATGTGTCCTCTCTTTAGTGAGTTGTGTGATGCAGCCACGTAGCTGTGGGTGGGCCTAGCCAGAAGGCTGTTTGCAGCTCTAAGTTCTTTTAATTTAAGGATGAGGACTTTTCTGTTTGTTGCTGCCCTTTATTAAATCAAATAAATATGAATTTCTTACACTGCACTGTAACTTCTATTCTCGTATTTTAAACCTGTCTTAGTCTTGTTTTTATTTTTCATTCTCTTGCTCTTTAATGGCGGTTTTTTGCTGCTAAAATGTGCTTTCTTAATAAATAATTCTAGGTCAAAACCTAGTATATGGCTGGACCGTGTATGAAACATTCGAGGGCTTTCAATTTCAAACAATGGCTTTTTATTTGAAACAGGAGGTGGCAACATTCACTTGGACTTGCTGTTGCAGTCCAGGCAAAAAATTAATATATACATATCTTAAAATGAAGAACAATACAATCAGACACACTCTCACAGCAGACAGGACATGGACTCTCTGGAGCTGTAACGTTAACCTCTGGACAAGCTGCTTTTTGCTCGATTTACCACAACACAAGACATGCATTGCACAAATTAGGCTGACATCTAGCGGTCTTTTCCTCCGTTCACATGAAGCCTGGAACAACGCCAACATTTAACAAAGGGAACATTACAGCATTCAGCTCCATTATAACTCAGAGGGTTCCCCATAAAAACAACTGTCTTAAACTAGACACGAGACAACATGCTAATGCTATTAGCATAAGCCTATAACATTTCCCACTGCAGAAATTATCCAAGCGGCTAGCATAGTTTTCCTCCTATTATATAAGGCCAGTATAAATCATACGCAAGACTTAAAAAAGCTATTTTGGGGGGCTGTGTTGTCTTAGCAAATTAGTTTCTTATCTGTGAAATCAAAGTAAATAAAGACTTTGCTTCCATCGGGGGAAATAGTTTTCAGAATAATAAGGAGGTCTCCGTCAACTCGCCACGGCTCTGACAGCCCCAGTTTATGGTCAGGGACTATTCATTTCAAAGATCAATGGCCAAGGGGGGGGGACACTGACACAGACATACAGACACAGACACACACACTCACTCACACACTCACACACTCAGTCACTCACAGATAGGCCTACATTCTGTGGTCTAGCCAAAAATAAAACAATTCTTGTTTCTGTCTTCTCGTTTATAATATGATGATCAGGTCAGATTTTTGAGTGACAGTGCATTTTATAAATGCCATAATGTGAGCAGCCCCACTTTCACTCAGTGGAAATCCTGGTGTACCAGTATAACCAGTAACCTTGTTAACTCAGACCAAATGTGTCATGGTTGCTCCAAGTGACGACAGCTGTTGAGAACACAAACAGAACATGTAGGTGTCCTCTTAAAACCCTTCAATTTTACTCAAATCAATTTTAAATACATGGTCATCTGTGTTTATTATCTACGCCAACCATTTACATAAGTGAATACAAGCAACCACTGATGCATTCAGCTGAAAGTGAACAGAGGAACAGAAGCCTTCTTTCAGCTAGCTAGCTGCTTCTTTCTTGGTTAAAAAAAATCTTGGCAAAACGAAGCAGTTTGCTTCAGTTTGTCACAAATAGACATCAGAGAATGCAGCTCAAGATCAGCCTTCATCCTCAACCCAGAAACCTGCACCACTTTCTGTATAAGCCAAGTAAGTTAGTAACAACACGTACGTGGCTGCTCATTCAGCCCTTTCTAGGTCAACAGCAGTGCAGTTACCAGTGTGTGCGGGCATGCGTGTAGTTAACGTGCCTGCAGCATCAGACTATGCTCAATTGTAATTTTTAATGTTACTGAACATGTTTGCCCTGGTGTACCTCGGTCCATGCCAGGCTGGGTTGTTAATGTTCATCTAGGTACGTTTATTTTTTCCTCTGATGATGTATAACACTTGTATTAATGTTACGTTTTATTAATTTGTCCTTAACTTGCTCATCATGGGTTTAAAATTAACTTTCCCCCATCTGGCTGTTTCTCAGTCGCTCCTTTGATTAATGTCTGATTAGACTAGATTTCTGATGCGTTTCTACAGTGAACTAAGGCATGTTGTTTTAGCTTAACACCAAGCTATAGTTTCAAATAATTAATTAATATGTACTTAACAGATTTTTTTTCCCTGACCCCCGACCTTATTTTTGGAAGCACTGCTTTCTTATTCTAACAGTAGTACTGATAGAAAACACTGAGTTGGTCCTGCATTAGCTTTTTTTGAAGATGTGTGTTTGTCTTGGAGCAGCACAGCGAACAGGCAGAAAGACAGTGTATAAGAATGACTCTTTTAAACACAAATTATTTTAAATGACTCACCTTGTACATGGCCAGTGCTTTGCCATTCACCTGAGAAAAAAAGCAGAGGTAAAGAAAACATGGACATGTAACTGATTTACTGCCTTTATTTAACATCACACATCTGCTACACTAATGATATTTAATAAAATCAAAGTGGTACACAGACAGAGTGGATAAGTTCTTGTGGTATTGTTTAAAACTGACCTTTTCGAATTTTACAGGTCCAAACTGGTTGATGCCCATTTTCTGGTGTGAGCATGAGCTTAAAGTCTTTGTCTGGATTTTGAACGACCACTTCATAGAAGTTTGGGCCTGTGCTGTTATATCTGAGCATTAATGTCTGTGAAAGAAAAAAATAATAAATAAGAAGTCAGACTTTGAGCAAAGTGCACCAGGAGATTTTTTTTCTTTGGTCATATGAGGTTAAGTTGTGGTGTTTTTTTCAATTCCATCAAAGACATCAGAGACAGAGACAGAAAAATCAATATATCTGACGTATATTGCCAAATATTGCTCAACTGACTGGCTAAAATGGAAGACCACATGGAGCCAGGCATGGTCATGACTGCAGATATTTGAATGTGTTTATCATTTCCTGTATCAACAGCTGATCATAAGCTGGCAGATTTCCCAGTTCCCAGGCTGCAATCAAAAATAAAAAACTGATATTACTGAAAGAAATTCTGTTCATTATGATAATGTAAAAAAAATAGCTGATAGATATCACCACAAAACTTACCCAGTTTATTACTTACAGTAAGACAATTATTTTTCATATTACAAGTTTTCTGAAATTTAATATATGGATATGCAAATGAGGCTCATCTAATTCAATATGTACAAATCTGCATAAATTTTAAAAATCTGAACACTGGATGAAGCCAAATTAAAAATTCTCAATTTAATTTATTGTCATATAAGTGTCAAAGATATTTACAAAGTGAATTTTGGATATTTCTGTTTATCTCTCCATAAATCAGAATATAGTGTCGACAGCCATGAATCTTTTTAGAACTAAAATGTTACATAAATCAGGTAATTAGTGAGATATGAATAAACCCCTCAGTAAATACCATCAGAGTATAGACAGTAATAAAACTTGGTGTATGTAAGTGCCACTGAAGTGAACATTTTTGGCCCACAGTATGAGATGAGACGCATTTATACATTGTAAAATTCCACACATTTTAAGACCCAAGATAAGACACCAGGGTAAAAAATTTAGCTATCACCATGAAACTGCTGCAGTTGATTACTTACATTAAAACAATTATTTTTTGTCCTGCAAGTTTTTTGAGACACTAAGTCTTAATATGAAAATTAGTCACCATCTAATTAAATAAAAATACATATATAAATACATTTCTAGAACAGAAATCTTAACGAAAATAAACATCTAAACAATTATTTTGGACAATTTCTCTCTATATTCTGAGAGAAGACATGATATGGAAGCAAAATAAAACATCTCAAAATTGATCAGTGCATAAAAAAATAGGTTTTCACCTGGGGTTTCTCGCCTTCAGGATAAATCTCTGCACCATCCTGATCTGTCGTTAAGGTGAACCAATTTTGCATTTTCAGGGACTTTTCTGGTTTTGACTTTGGGATTCCATTGAACCCATAGGATTTTTCTCTTGAATCCAATTCCTGTAGAAAAAACAAAACAAAACAAAAACATTGTTATCTGTGTTGTGTATTTACCAATTAATTTATAGTGTCATTCTGTATCTTATTATGACTGGTATTGTTGACAGTAAGACATAAAATAACCTCTTGTAGACCAAGATCAGATGGGATCAGGTAAACATGGAGTGTGAGGGATGTTTGAGATGATGCTGTGAGGATCTTGCTATATATTAACACCATACAGTATATTTCCACTGGAAGGCCCAACCAGTCCAACAGGACCAATAATAGAGAGAAATCTGGGTCAGACAGCTTGACATGGGACGATGTGACCTCAGACACTTTTTCCACGACATCTCCACAGTCATCTATGTGTAGGACTGCAAACTTATCTAATATTTTAGGATTGTCATCTGCACGAAACAAAAGCACAGTAAGTGAAGAGAAAAGGATTGCATCAGTTTTTGTACTCGTGCTGTCAAAAATAAAAAGTGAGTACATTTTATTTTTCATTATTTTCTTCATGTCCACTTACCTATGCAGATCCAGTGTGGCAGGTACACTACATCTAACTTCCCAGCATTGACTGTGATGTCCATCAGGGGACCTGCTGGCATGTACTTCATTCTTTCAATCCTCTCTAAGTGTCCACTCAAAGAGCAAAACTGGTACTTAAAGCTGACCTTTTCCTTACAGACCCAGCGCAAGCCAGAGACACTGCATTCAAAGTTTCCTGCTTCAGACTGTAGGCTAAAATGTAAATGGAAATAAAACAAGTGAGTTTGTGTCATCAAAACATTTTTGTACCAGATAGTAAACATATTTATTTCTGCTGATAAGTTGGGCATTTTAACATGGGGGTCTATGAGGATGAACTCCCTTTTGGAGCCAGTCTCAAGTGGCCATTTGAGGACCTGCAGTTTTTGGCACTTCCGTGTTAATCTCTATAAACAAATTCTGCATGTGTACAGAATCTGAAGACAACGGGACAGATTTTGGGATCAGAAGTGTTCTGGTTTCTGTTTGTATTCCGTTTGTAGTCCGAGTAGTATTGACCAAAATCTTATCTATTATGAGATAGGGATCAGTGTTTGTGGGTTTATCATATGTAACACAATAAACACACGCTGAAATCAACACAACAAATGGAGTGACGTGTGAATAAGTCACTATGACGGACGCAAATTAATACATTGGAACCGGGGGACCCGCTTGCTGGTTTCTGGTGTGCTGGTCAGCTACAACAGCACTGGAGAGAGAGTTATGCACAAGAACAGGATGGTGTGCAGGCGTTGCTCCACCATTGTAGAGGATGTGAATGGAAAAACATCGAACATACTAATGCACATTGGATGGCATCACCCGGATGTGTCAATCACCTAATGTAAATGTAATGATATTACCTGAAATCCTGTTGGTGACGTGTTGTATTATTGAATCGCTATTTTACCTGGTGCACTGTTCGCTACTGCCGCTTGCTCTCCCCTTCTACCGGCGGCACGGGAATGCGCATATGCAGTAGAACAGCCAATAGGAACACAGTGGTCTGAGCTGACCCTTGATTGGTTGATGCACATCGGCACTATACTGATTCTTTAGAGGCTGAACACAGAGCCATGGTGAGGTGCAAAAACCTATTGTTTGTCTCAGACCACTTGATTTACATTATGCTTAGAGGATATAAAATTTTTACTCAATTATACCAAAACAATGTTGCCTACTGGATCTTTAAGTATCATGATAATGTATCATGGATCTTCTGGTGATTTCCATCCCTACTGGATAATACCAAAATATGGGCTTCACCCTCAGAGGCTCATCACTGTCAGTCTGGTTCCTGACATTGTTTCACTGTAAGTTTCATTTTTCAGCCCCAAACGTTGAAGCTTAGCTGTGATGGAACATTTAGGATCTTATATTTACCTGTAAGTTGAAGCCTTGTCTGCATCTGTACTGGTCACTTCAGGGTCAACTTTAGTCCAGTCACTGGAGTCCTGCTGCAGAGGACAGTCATTTTTACAAAGACGTGAAGATGTGTTTTAGTAACTTCACATTAACTGATAACAAATAAACTCAACAGAAGAATAGCTGCTGAAATGCAGTAGCTAATGTGGATCATAATAAACTAAACTAAACAAATGAATGGATGTAAGGAATTACCATAATGCTTCCACAACCCTCAAGCTCCAAGCTTCTTGAAGGCCCTTGTGAAGACACAGAGGATCAAAAATATATGTTGATACATTAAATCACATAACATTGCATGTGTTTTGCATCATATGCTAGATATTGCTGCTCAAACATGAGAGCAATATGTAACAGTAGGTTAGGATTGTAATGTAAAGTGTACAGCAATGGGTGTTGATGTTGTGGTCATGCTATATACAGTATGTTTATATGCGCTGTGGTAACCAGGTTACTGTTAAGCTGTGTATACATGCAGCAGGACAGTAATCATCAGATTTCTCCCCTACTTCCCACATTATTTTGGAATGATGGCTTTCTTTATCATTATTTAGATAATTTTCTTTGCATTTTTTGCCTTTATTGGACAAATCTGGGACAGTGGGAGAGGGGATGACAGGACATAAAAGTCCAACAGCTGGAATCAAACTGTGGATGTTGTGGTTACATTGCATGCTGTAACCATCTGGCCATCAAGATGCTCCAGCTTTTTTCTTTTTATTGTAGTGATAGGGATAAACAATGACAGGCGGACAGACTGACAGCCTCACAGCATGAATGTGTCTGAATTTGACTATCAAACACTCGATAGTGGAACAAACTTAATTAGACTACTAGAGGCTACTTGTTGTTTCAGTCACGGTTATTTGATTTCACTATTAACCGCGGTTTTAAACGCCACGGTTAATTATTTGTAAAGATTCCTCAACACCGTCACTCTCCAAAGATTATGCCGGGATGCGGAACCATATACAGTAGGTCAGCGCAACTCACACGGAACGAAAACAAAGTCACACAAGCGGCGTCTCCGAGTGATGAAGTATGGATGAAGAAGACTTATTCCCCCCCCCCAAGTAAAGGTAAATGCACAATAACTGGGTTAAAATACGTCAGTCTCAATTTATCTAATGTAACATTGAATTACAAATTATATGTTAGTGTGTCATTTGCAATTAATGGCATATTGGTATGATACGAGTTGGGCTTACAGTGCAACGTGACAAGCTAAGGCACGTCTCAATTTTTTTTTTTGATGGATAGTTTTGCAGTTTGTGTGCACACAGCGTGACGTTGTAATGGTTTTGGGTCCGTGTAGCTCTTTGGAGTGAGATGACAGGCAGAAACTCACGTCCACACGAGTGTGGGATTTCACAAATGCTTGTCAATTATTTTTACATCAACTTAAAAACACTCCAACCTTACCAAGCCCGGTTGTACGGCTACTATATTTTCATACATGAACAAAATAGTCGCCACACGTACTCATAACCATCACTGTTGTGTTGAGAGATAAAAGAAAAAGCAGGAGCACATGGAAATAAATGAAACTTAAAGATCTATAAGGAGTGTTCATGTGATTTTACACATTTATAGTGTGAAATTAATTAATGCATATTAATCGTGATAATCGTAAAACCGTGATTATTTCTCTGACAATAATCGTACCAAGAAAATCTATAATCGTGACATCCCTAGCTGTTACCTTCCCTTCTATTGTCATTAACATGCATGCTTCTGAGATTTGTTTAAAAACTTGTTACATGTATACATGGCAGAACATTCTGCATCGTATCTGCAGAAATGTATCTGGGAGATACTAAATTTCCCTAATACCCTACCCCAATTATGGAAACAAGGTTTCTGCTTGATACGAAGTTTAAGAAATCAGCTTACTCAAGAGTCGACTGTAACCTGATTATAAGAGCCTGGAAATACACTGATAGTCAGTACCCTGTCCTAAACTGTAATGCTTCTAAAAACCAAAGAGGAAATTAAAAATTGTAAAAGTTATTGATTCTGTAACAGGAACTTTTTACAAACAACTAAATCATTCTAATAAATAACAATGATTATTTGGTATTTGGTTTTTTTCTACATTTCTTTGGCTGTGTAGAACAATGCTGGCAACAACAGTCTTGGTATTCTGGGTTTCCTTGTTTTCTGTCTCATTGCTTTTAAAAGTAGCATTTAAGTTAAAGAATACAGACTGCTCTGCATACCAAAGTTTGTTTTTCCCCCACATTTTACCTTTGGATCCTGAGCTGATTTCTGACAACCTCTCTGCCAGATCAGTCCTGTTCATCTCCATTAAAACCTCCCTGGTCACCTCCACAGACTGCTCGCCATAGATCTCCACCATCAGCTCCACTATTTCATCTCTGTCTGCCATCTCCATTCTCTGACTTGAGATTTTTGGGAGGTCTTTCTTCATTGTAGTGCGCTGTAGGACATGTTTGAATTGCTCGAGCTCCCCATAACTTAAATCTATGAGTGTTTCCAAAAGCTTCTCCATAAGTGATGTCCTGGTCACCACCTGATGGATTCAAAGTAGACAGAGGACATTTATGTAATATTTCCACTTAGTGATGAAACAATATATTTGCATTAATGCAAACATTAATAAGAGTATTATAACAACTAACAATAACCACATCAGGCACAATGATACATTTGGTTCTACATGTGTTGATTTCTGTAACATGATTAATTTAATTTTATAAACCCGTCTCTAACTCTCTGTCACTGTGCTCCCAAAAGCAGGAATGATCCACCTGATATCATGTTCTCATCACTTTTACAACAGATGTGATGTTTCTGGTTTAAACATTTTTCCACCTCTTTACTGTCATGATGAGGATAATTTTCCAGCTGTAAAGATTAAACGAAAGCTGTGTTGTGAAAAGTGTGTCTAATGTGACATTACTCACCTTCTGGAGTGGTTTAGATTGATGTTTCTCTGAGGAGAAAGAAAACAGAAAATGACTTGTTACTGATTCAAAGTAAGATTATAAACAACTTTAGTCAAATTTTGTTTTTGAATAAAACATAACATGAATAATTCATTATAAAATACAAGCCAAATCTGCAATCACAAACAAAGAGAGTGAGAGACTTTTGACACCATCTGTGTCTATCATCTATCATTGACACCCATTAAATCTAAATGACTCCAATACAAAAGTCCTGCAACAAACCCCACATTTATAAAAATTATGATGTCTGAAATGTGTCAAAATACATAATTTACAATGCTGTTCAATGACAATATTCAGTGTGTCAGAGAGGTGTTGATTCAGGTGGTCACTTTTGAGGTCAAAGTATTTACGCTTGATGTTCTCTATCATTCTGTGAACTGTACCCTCAAAGTAGCTGGATTCAACTCAATGATTTCTGCAGTGAAAGTAATGAATGTGGTGTTTTTAAATTGCTGACTGCTCCCTAATATTTCATATTTTTTATTTTTGATTGAATAAAGTTTGAACCCAGTTTTACTATGAATTCTTCAATAGTGAACAAGAAAATAAAGCTTTACTTATACAGCATTTTAAAACACAGCTACAAAGTGCTTCATACACACACACACACACACACACACACACACACGTAAAATATAAAGAAAAAATCAAATAAACATTTATGAGACATATGATTGTGTAATGTGGTGGTTTT